ATCACGTAATCCCCGGTCCTCTTCTATCGTTGACTCATATGCTTCTTCTACCCCGTCAAGCAATCGACCCAGTTGTGAATTGTCTTGTATAACTTTGTTGAACTTCTCGAGCGCTAGTTCTTTAAGAGCAGGTACTCCATAAAACTCGGCCAGTGCATACACCCTGACGTGGAATGTCGGGTAAGAATCGTCGATACTGTCCTCGTCTAAATGTGGTGGCGGAATTGTACCTTCCGTTTCACCGGGGCTGGAATCTTTTGTTGCAGGACCTGGGTAGCCGCTCTGGTAGTCCTGGCGATAGAAGTACTGAATAAGGCAATCCACTGCCCGGGGGTCGTCCTGCGAGAAGTCGAAACAATACCTAGGCGTGACTCCACAAGAGTCACACGAAGGGTCCTGCTTGGTGCTTCGGAACCTGGATAGGAGTTTCTTCGCTATGACCGAAGATTGTGGACAAACAATGACTCTATGGGCGGAGTACTCTTTGACAGAAGAAACCAAGGTGAGGTCGGCATAGCTATCATCGTCTAATGAGCTAAAGGTGTCCAATTAGTACTATGAAAAAGAAGGCGACGTGAACATCATGAGACGGTGAGCTGAATTTACCCTCTCAACCACGACAAATCGAATGTCACCATCTTCCTTGTTTGGCACTCAGTCAGTGATTCCACAGGGCTCTGTGCACCGGATATATCGGTACAACGGAGATCTGGAAATTCAAGAGTCGCAGCGGCCGGGGAGCTAGAAACACCTCGGCCGATGAGATACTGCACAATCTCAACGAGCTTCTGTTCTGTGAAGTTCCCAACAACAACAGCGTGATTCCTAATGGCACGACGGATGGGCTTTTGTTGGCTGAGATGCGAGTTCTCCGGTAGGCTGAAAACGTGCCTGCAATTGGCATCCACATAAGCGGCTTTTCTGTGCCCGCTAGGATGGTTCATGGCTGTGCCATCGGGACGACAGATATTCTATGTGTATTTTTGTGTCAGACAGGAGCGGGGGTCAAATGGAAGCTCACTTAGTCAGCGACGGAGCCTTACTTTGTGGTAGTTGGTAGAACGTTCTACTGGCTTAGGCTGGAACATACAAGGGTGATTGGACCAACCCAGAAATCGTGTTGGCCTGCCGAGCTTGCTTGATCCAGAGGCCTAGGCATTAAGGCCACCATGCAGGATACGTACAGGCTGATGTCTCGGAACCCCCGCACCGTTGAGACAGCCAACGTAGAGATTACGATCTATCCAACTACCTTGCGGTCGAAAAGAACACATTACTCCTTCTTAGTCCCAGCTGGTAGATAACACATAGCAGACATCTCTAGGTCTACTATATGTTAGAGGAACGTCTTATCCTGACGAACTCACACCATGACCGTATCATCGTGCGACAAGCCCGTGCTCTACTGCAGCTGCACCACAAGAGAACCAAACATTGACAGTGTTTCCGTCGATCCGACATGCAACTCGTGCCAGGAACGGTTACCCGACGACAAGGCCATTTATATGGTACTTAAAAGCCACCTTACGGATCTACGTTACTTGACCGGCAGGGCAAGTCGGAGCAAGAATTATCAACGTAGGATGAAGGGTCGTAGCAGAAACATCATGGATGGCATCGAAAGCGATCCGTATCCAGAAGATGTACAGAAGCTGCACGAGAAGTATGGTGTCGAGGTGGTTCGTTCTTCAGCCAGGGTTCTAGTGAACAGCAGTCCGTTGACGATACGTTCTGCTTATCCCTTCTACGACTTGTATGGTCTCGCAACAGCTTCTGTAGAAGTTGATAGCGATGTGCCCAGGGAGGCTACTTGGGTGCGAGAACCAACGTCGGCACCGGAAAGGGCACCATCACCATATGCCTGCACCCCGGAAGTGGATGTCGTCCCGGAAGACAACCGACCAACAGAATCTGACGGTTGTGCAGAGCCCGAGGCTATCATAGAGGATAAAAACTTGGACGATGTGCAGGAGAAGCTTTGCGATGACGGTTTGTCTCTGCCTCATGATGGTGATGGGTACGACAAGGATAAGGCACAGGAGGGCACTACCAAGCCTGAGGACTCGAAAGGGGACAGGGACATCCACCATGAGCAGGAGTCTCCTGACGAAGCGGATATCTACGCGCCCTATCGTAACCGATACGAAGACAAAAGGGGGATGGTGAGCGTGCAGCTGGGTATCCAGTACGAGCTGATGGTACAGCTACAGAGATACATTGAAAGAGCCTGCTATGCATTTGGAAGTGGAGAAATCCCAGAGACGCTGTCACGAAATGGATGGGACTGCGACGAAGCAGTAACGCTGGATCGTTGGATGAGAGAGTTCCTCGATCGGCCTGAAATCTTTGACGTGGGAGGCAGCGTTGAGAGTCCACGATCATTATTTCAGAGGCTGCGTGAGATTCAAGCAGTCAATCTCGGTCGCAAACGCCTTACTTCTGACGAGATACACGAGTTTCTCAGTGACGCATGCGCACTTATGGATGTGCTGAATGTCAGCGGCTATAAGGAGATCCTTAAGAAGCTCGAATTGAGGATTGGGAAGCTGTTGGTTGATTTCGCCGTCAGGTACAAATCATTTCGGCAGAGACGAGATGAAAAGTTGAAGCAAGTAAAAAGCGAGCGGGCGAGGCTGGACATGCTAGAGAAGACGATTCTCGCAGAAATGGACGATGACATAGAAGGAAATCAGAGTATGGTTAAGCGGGAGATTCGAACTGCATTGGACAAAACGGCGGCGAAATTTGAAACGGATATAGAGTGGAATAGAAATAAAGGAGAGTGAGCTGGAGTGACGGATATTCATGGTTGTAAGTTAGCAATTTCGAGTTCGTCAGTTAGCTTTGTAGTCGCGCAGTATCGATATGGGTTTCAATGGAATAATAGGGTAGCCAGCTATATATCTTCAATCTAGTGCGTTGGTATAATATTATCTTGCTTTGTCTTAGTAGCTATATAGTAAAGACACTTAACTATCGAGGTGGCGGAGGTGGCGGCGGTGGAGGAGGATGAGGTTGTAGTCCTCGGGGCAGCGGCGGCGGCATAGGAAAGCTCGTAAGCTTTTCACCACCAGGTGAGCCTTCACTCCTTCCCCTAGCTACTCGCTTCACTTTAACCAGATGAAATGTTATAGAGAATGCAAATGCAGCACTTGTAGTGTACCTCCAACCTTGACATGTAGCGAAACGGCGCCTAACCTCTTTGTGGCGAACTCTAGTGCATTTCCTGTCTGCGTGGTAGATGCTGCGTTAGATGTTGGGTGAGATAGATATGTATTTTGCACTGGTCGTGCTAAGTTGATGTGAGTGGCAGAAGTTATGCCCTTTTGCTACCTTTACGGCATTGAGATAAACATCTCTTGTCAGCCTCTTGTTCGCTATCACTATGACGCAGGTGGCTCAAATTAGAGAGTCTAGGCAACAAGGCAGCATTGCATGGTAGGTACAAGTAGATGTCTCTCAATCCCCGCACTCCAACAACCAAAAGACGGATTTTATCTCATTATTGTATGCATATTGTTACTTCTGGTTTTAGCAAGTGAACTGCCTACCTCTCAAAGTCAGAATGGCGCTGTGCACCTATAAGACCGATTCTATAGATGCATGTTATGAGGATGTCGTCGAGTACTACTGCAGTTGCGTCACCATGGTATATAATTACCCATCGCGCTGCGGCATATGCGATCGGCTTTGCCCCGACGAAAAGGCCATCTATTTAGCACTCAGAGATATTGAAGCGATCCGCGAACTTGGCAGAAAATGGGCAAAGAAAACTAAGCATCAGCCTGGCACAATTAAAAGAGCCCTCGCATCAATCGAGGATCGTCCTGATGTCAAGGCACTAGTCGACCAATATGGAATGGATTCACTCCAGTCTGTAGTGAGAAGACTGTTGAAGGACAGGTCATTTACCTCCGACTCTATTGCGGAACAACGATTTCCTGGCTTGACTGCTGTTATCGTTCACGCAGAAGCCATGAGTACGGAACCTGCTGAAAGCACGTCGGAGAAAACGGACTGGGAACTCTTAGTGGCAGTAGAAGCGCCAGTAAAGGCCTCTGAAGAAGAGCCAGAAGAAATCCCAGCCAAGACGGCAGAAGAAGAGCCCGAAGAAGCCACAGCCAAATCCCCAGAAGAAGAGCCTGAAGAGGTCACAGCCAAATCTCCAGAAGAAGAGGGCATAGAAAATCAGCGATGGCTAGAAAAAGAACCCTGTCCGACAGAGCCATATCCGACGGAAGCATACGAAGCTCCAGCAGAGACAAAAGCTCTGGAAGGTAAGTAGCTCGAGTCCTTTACTCGATAGCGATTCAATATACTCATTAACCTTGCTTAACAGAAGAAGCATGCGGGGACCGTGTACAAGAGGAGCAGAAGATAGGCTGCCTACCCATGGGCAGTCAGCATAATCTGCTTGTCCATCTGCAGGAGGTCCTTGAGACAGCATGTTTTGCGTATGGACAGAAAACGCTACCGACGCAACTACGCAAACGCGGCTGGGACTGTGTGGAAGCAGTAGCGCTTCGTACTTGGATGAATGAGTTTCCTACTATGACTGAGGCTTTCGACACAATACATAGGAGGGAGCTACTAGAATCAGTAGTCGCTATCCAAGATATAGCTGTCAATCGACCGCGTATCGACTGGCCTAGGATGAATAAGTTATTAGACGATGCATTGGATCTTACGGAGGTGCTGAACGTCAAAGAATACAGCGATATCGTTAAAAAGGTTCGAATAGATATCGGGAAAGCGGTGGAGGGCTTGAACTGCAAAAAGCAAGAAGCTGAAGATCAGCAGGAGGAGAAGCTACAGCGGATTGCAGAGGAACGGAGAAAGCTAGATAAGTGTGAAGTGGAGGTTCGAAAGTATAAGGAAAACCGAGTGAAGGATCACTGGAAGTGGGCTGAATCGGAAGTGGAGGGAAAACTGGAGGAGACGAGGAAAACATTAAAAACAGCTAGATTCTTTATCAAGCTTGTAGACTAGCGAAGGCCAGGTAATAATTTTTTAGAGATTAACTGGGTGGACTAAGATGATGGAAGCCGTTGAAGTTGTTATAGAATATAAAATATCAGGTCGAGCAACAGGGTAGTTGAGTGACTCTGGCAGGTCGATAACGGCTGTAGGGACCGCTAAGGGATCTAAAGTTTTTGGCAGAGATATAACAATAGACAGTGCGGTGCAGAGAGGAATTATCAGAAAGGCAATAACAAGTAGGGGATGGGACAAAGAGGCCGAGGCTAGCATTGGAAATAATGAGGACATAGGATAGGATGGCGGGCATGATGATGATTACTGTGTGTTTTCGTCATCATCGTCTCTTAGGTTGCTCGGTCATGGGTTGAGGAGTCAGGGTGATAAGGATTTACCCTAACCCTAAAGCAAAAGCTCAAGTTTTCGTTTGATCGGGGAAGGTAAAAGGCTAGCGGGTGTCTGAGAGGGTTAGGCAAAGGACAACAGCGGACTCGCTAGCTGTTGTGCTAACGGTGAGGCAGAAGTTAGACCAAGGGCGGACAGGAACGTTTAACCCTGAGTGTAACCCTAACCCTAA